AATTCAGTTGAACACAACTTAAAAAACATTGCATAGAAAAGGGTTTAAAGACAAAAGAAAAATACAAAATAGAAAAAGCACTTCGCAGGTAACACCAAGTTCAGTTCAACGACCAAGATGAAATAGTCCAGAGGGTCATGACTGTTTTACTTCCCAAAAATGTTTATGTCTGGGATTCATTTAAACCAGAATAGGAAACTTTCAAAAAGTGAATTTAGGGACCACCTCAGACTCACTTTCCAACAGAACCAGATGCTGCATGCACAGGAATGAAGAATCTATACCTGAAATAACCTTTCCCATCATCTTCTTTGATTTCCAGTGACACGGAGAAGGTGAAAATATCACTGTCTGGAGTCTGTGGGGTGGCAATGGCTGAGAGCGGAGTTTGTTTGGCAGAACGACGGAAGGCAGTGGCAAAGCTGTACAGTATTCGGCTCACCTGCATTTAGACAGCACCAAAGAAAGATCAGGAAGCTACAGAAATAGAAAATGCAGCAGCTGAAACCTACCTGAATTTTCACTAAAGAATAGAATGAGAAGTAATTGTATGAAAATAGTTCAGTTTCAGCATCTAATTAATGGGGTTTCTATACTTCTTAAAAGGATAAACTATTAAATGTGCATTCTTATTTCATATATGAGGTTTCTATAATTATCTTAACCCGGGGTAGAAAAAAGCCAAAAGTGATGAATTACATTACTTCTAAAGTGCCTGAAATACTTCAGTTTCATTTCAGTAATAATGTTTACATGTACATAATTATCATTTGACAAAAAGATTCAACTTACAGCCTCTTGGATTTCACACCGGAAGACATGAATCCTGAAGAGTTCTGCATTGTAGTGGCTTTCAGTGAAAGCAAAGCAATCGCTTTCAGGGGTTCCATCATGCCCTCGTACACAGAAAAGGATTTTATAGATTGGATAATTTGCTATTTCTGTGTTTGTCTGAGGATCTAAAAGTCTGTTAAAAGACAGAGAGAAAAAAAAAAACAAAGCTTGCACCTTCAGAAGAATCATTTCAGCTGGTTTTTAACTTTAACAAGCTTTAACAATTTCGTAGCTACTGGAGAAAGTACATGACAAAGAAACTAGCTCCTGACTGTCACTTACTGCAAAGCTTGACCAGAATAATTATATTTAAATTGAACAGCATAAAAAAGTACAGTGCAACAGACATTTCCACCAATAATTTCCCCATAGTTTTCAGGGCTCAGCCTTCAACAACCTACACTAATATGCAGCAGTGGATAGCCTCATCCCTGTTAAGTCTCATGTATCAGCCATTTTCCAGCCCTACAAACTAAATGCTTTCCAGGCCATTTCCAAAGTGTTCATCAACAACCACTCCCACCATGGCTCTGGGGACACCTGGGATCATCATAGTATTTTATACTGATCCTTGGACACAAAATGTCTTTGGTAAACAAACTCAAAGCATCACTTTTCTCTTTAAAACCCACTTTTTCCACTAAACGAAATCCCAAGTTGCTCACGTCTCCTCCCAGGTAAAATGGTAGCTTGTTTTCGTTGCTAAAAGGAAATAAGATTAAATGCACACTGTCACAGAGTACACCTGAGTGAGCTTCATACCTCACTGTTCCTTCAGAGACATTAGGCACTGACAGAGTCACATCTAAAGAAATCTGGCACTGGCTTCGTAAGATGGACATCATTCTGAGGGCTTCCACTTCACTCCGGGGAGCATTCACAGAGGCACAGCCTAAATAGGTGAGCTTGCTAAACACCACGCTGTCCTCATCTGTCATAGGTGTAAAAGGGCTCAAATCCTCACAGTCTAGGGTGAGACACAAATTTAAACGGAAGAAGCAAGACAAGGCATACGTAAGTAAATTATCAGAGACTGACTCATCACTAACTAAATGACAAAAGCGACCAAGAAACACATTACAGAAAGTCAGGTCAGTCCAAAATACTATAGGAAAGTGAGCTACTGATGGCAGAGAGCAACTCAGCTATCCCAACTCTACAACCAGTTCACTCGGAGGCCTTCTTTTAAATATGAGTGCACTGATTTTCATTACAGCAACAAGATGCATAGACGAGCTAAATGGACTAATACTTTATACAGCCAGGCAAGTAAGCATAGTATTTCTGTACACATCTCAAGGCTAGTATAATGAGCGTTTTCAGAAGAGAAGACAGTTCAGCATATGTTAACTCTTGCATCACATAACCTGGCATTTACTGCACTAGGTGATTATAATGGGACAAATGGGGAAAGGCTGGTGGACAGACCTGTACCTAAATTCTCCTTCCTTTCCCCACAAAAAGCTAGCTCATAAGATACCACTAGGCATTCCCCATTTTTTTTCTAACCTCCCTGGGATGGTTTCACTGGCAAACTCATTTCTGGTTTCTGGAGTCCTGCCATTGACACTGGGTTAATGGTAGAGGATGCTGAAGCTTCAAGGACAACAGGTTCTTCCCCATCTCCATCAGTTCTAACTTCTTCTCCATGGTCGCGGTCACTTGACTGATCTTCCATGGGTGGGTCCATCAGCACGTCTTCAAGCTCCCTCTGCAGCTGCTGTTCGCTTCCATTCCCCACAATCTAAGAGCCACAAACAGAGTTGGGACACAAAAAAAGACTGTTCAAATGAAAAAAAAAAAAAAAATCCCTCAGGCACAGGGTCATTCATATGGCTTTTTCTGCCAACCAAAGCAGCAGTTAACAAATTTAACCTAGTTACAACCGTAAACACAAAGTGCAACATGCAAATGCTCACTAGTACGGATTATATCCTCCCTGCTTTAACAAATCAACAAGCTCAAAGCAGGAATTTTCTAGCACTGGAAAAAGTGAGGAGATTACTTTCAAACTAGTCTTTAATCACCAACTACAAAGACTAGCTTATGACAGAAGAAACTTACAGATGTCCACAGTACAGTGGTCTATAATAATTCTCAGAATAGTACCAGAAAGGGCCAAATATAATTAAACATGCTACACGGTTCATGGGTAAGATAGCAAGGTTTCGCAGGAAGAGAGGAATCCGCAACAGGATTATGCCATCATGCTAAGGAGAAGAGGTAGTGTTGTTTTATTTCCTAACATTCATGTACAGCCTGACTTTGCACTCATTGAAGTCAACATGAAAGCATGAAGCAACCTAAATGGTGCAAAATTAGGTTCTAAACTAGGAAGAGAATGAAGACATTAATTTCAGGAAACTCTTAGATACTGTATCTAAGGAAACTCTTTGTCCATTCCTCCGCAATTAATAGGGAAGTGACTGATGGTTTACATAGTTTAGAAATTAAGCACGAAAATGGAGTTTACAGAAGTATTTTACCAGATGGCAGTCAGAGAAAGGTACTTGATTCCAACACTTCAGCTGCTGCTGGTTATTATTGTTGGCACCAAAACTCAACCCTATGAGCAGATATATATTTCTATATCCTTATGTCTCTGTAAGCTTACAGAATTAAGACGCTACACACAAGCTAATAAAATCCAAATTGTGCAACTACTCCAAGTTCTTAAAAAGAGTGTAAATGAAATCTTATTAAAGAAAATTTTCTTTTTTTTTAATCTGTAAAATAAGATAGTAAAGAAAGGAAGTGGTTAAAAACAGGAGGAAGAATACAGAGCAGACAGAAATCTGCTCATAACACAATCTCAGTATTGAAGCAAATTCCATCTGCCTCAAAACTAGCATCTCATAGTAGAAAATTAAATTATCTTGAAAGTACCTGAAGCAATGGCCAAGGTTCTCACATTTTAACAGTAAATAAATCAACCTGAAGTCCAGTTAAGAATGCTGAAATAACATTGGAACAGATAATAGAAAACATTCATGCATACGGATGAGCCTTGCAATGAATTAAATATACTATGAGCAAAACATCAGATGTCACTTAAATATTTGTACTGTCTTCTCTTTCACACTCAGACCCACAATCTCCAAATAATTATCTGTATCTGCAGCCTCTATATACATTGCTTTAAAGATGTAAACTGCATATTAGTTTTCTGGTGAAAAATAACTATTTAATATACAAGAATATTAACAAAGAACAGAAACTTCTGACCTGGAATTACTCTAGAATAGAGCAGAATACAGTTACTTTAAGAGAAAAGTCCCAGATCCCTGTTCTTCAGAAGAAAGTCTTCAAAAAACGGAATTCTAAGGTAATGAAAAAACTAGCAAGCACACAAGATCCTAGAGGCAGGCGCAACATAAAAAAAAGTAGTAACCTAATGACTGTTTTACTACAGAATCTAAACAACAACAAAAAAATCTGAGAGATGTTTATGGTCTTGAAACTCATGCTCAAACAGAAAGTAATTTTTTAGTATGGATTAAAATACATTCATGTGCTATCTGGAATCATCTACCAGGAGGAGGACAGAATAACTGCCTTACTCAGCTGTACATCCACAGAAGTATCCGTAACCTGTAACTAGTTACAGGAATCCACAGATTTGCATTTTCCTCCCAATAATTTTAGTATTCATTTGCATGATTCATCATGGAAGCAATGAAAAATCTTGCACAAACATGTGGTCATCAAAGGCATAATCCTTTTAAGTATCAAGTTTATTATTCAGGTCTTCGCAGGCATTTGTCAGAAAGATGATGATGATGGAAGATGCACCATGGTACTTTACTGTACACAGTTTATATGTTTTGCAACAAAATATAATGAATCAATTATAATGTCCTGCCAGCCCCATTAAAGCCTATATATTAAAAAACCTAAAGTAACTTCTAGTTTACAGGACCTGTTTTCTATGAAAGTGGAAGTTAAAATTCATTCTGGCAAAAACCTGCATCTCATATGCTTTTGCTCACAGTGATTAAACAGACTTCAGTTTGGGTTTGGGAAAGGAAGACGAGGAATTTATATCCAGCGAGAATTAAATGTTTAATGGTATTAACATAAAATGCACATGAAAAATGTTCTATTCCATCAAGATTACAAGCCAAAAAAGTCTGAACAGTGATCTACTGTATTTGGTAAAATAATCAGTATCAATAACTTATATCTAGATACTGCCCTATAAAACATGATCTTGAAAATAAAAGTTCCTAAAAATAGCAGTGACAGGTAAAACATGAGTCCAAGTTGTTTATGGCGTGACAGGAAATAGGCACGTAAAAAGAAAAAATCTGTCTCAAATATTCTAAAACCTCATCATCAAAATCTTCACTTACAAAGTAATTTAAAAGAATCCCTCCAAGAAAGCCTTCCTTCTCAACCCAGACTACACTCAAAAAAGAATTCTAAAAGACACAGTAAATATACTTTTGGACTGGAGGAGCTCTGCTGTTCTCACAGCCCTAACAGTCAAGTGCAACAAGCCAGCTGCCTGAGAAACGAGGCCTAAAATACAAACTAAGACTAACTTCACGTCAACCAGTCTCTTATACAACCGTATAAATTCACCACATCGTGGGAACAGTGCACATTAAGACGTAAACATGCTTGAAACTTTGCTGCAACCCAAAAAAACAGTAAGAGGCAGCATGACAGAGTGCAGCAGAAGTAAGGGCAGAAGGGAAGAATAAACAAGGTGTACCTAACAAATGCTTCATGTACGTTTGCCTCACATAGAGGAAAGAAACCATTCACCCTAATCATTGTTTTCTCCATTTCTCACAAAACTGAAAACTAATTTTACTTAACCTTTAAATAGGAGGTAGTGAACTTTCTTTACAGCAACACGGGGGATTTAATAGAACAGTCGTTTATTGCATTCTCCCGACACATGTGCTGCTGGCCTCTCCTGTGAGAGGTCTCATTGTACCGTGTAGCTCAACTCCTGTTCTACAGTGTGCTCCAGAAGCAAGGCTTTCGTAAATCCAGTTCAGTCCCACTGGCAGTGGGCAAAAGCAGACACAGAAACAATACTGGAAAGCAGAGACAGCTAGCAAATTATATTTCTGGAAAACAATCACTGACAACCCCTTTTTAAATTGAAGCACATATTTCAGCATAGACAAAAAGCAAAACCACATTTATGAATTATGACTAACTGAAGAAATATATTTCTTCCAAATACAATCAGGAAGCATATTTCCTGTTTGGATGTGAGAAAGAAAAAAAATTAAAACGTGCATTAATTCAGCCCACAGCACTATTATTTAAAACTATAGCACATCAACAAATTTGAAATGAGAGCCTTAGGTTTGATGTACAAATTTCACAACCAATCACATGCAGCAAACACAAGCCTAAACTTCCAGTACCATCCTCAGACTGTGCTTAGCAAATGAAAGATCCTCAAACTGCTTTTCTAAAACAGAACACCAGAAAAAGACACCTGCTCAAATATGAACCTGAACTTACTTTCTGTTTTTCTTAGTAGGCACATCAAAGCAAATGGGTTTTGACATACACAAACAAATTAACTCAGTTATAAGTACCAAAGCAATTGCTTCTCCCTGAAAAAAACTCACCTCTTTTGTTCCTATGAAATACATAACCTCAGTTCTCATGTTGTACTGTTAATATTAATTTTCCATATACTACTTAAACACTTTTAGACATTACGGTGACAGTACTTTTAACATACCTCTGACAACTTTCACACCTCCACTTACCCATGCACAAAATAAACAGCTTAATAACACAGTAAAACTGGCTACTGAATGACTACTTGCAAGATGAAAACAAAAAGATACGAAGAACAAAGCCATATTCTAGGGTAGTATGTCTCTTTTCTTGTAGAACAATACCAAAAGACAATTTCTATCCCTAAGAATAGCTAAAAAGTCTTCCCATTTCCTCTGTTAAAAGTTTTCACCTCCTTAAGCAGAAGGAAGGAGGTTAACAGGAAGATCCCTGTATGGGAGAATTTAGACTGCGCACTGACTGCTTATCTAAGGTATAATGTTTCCATTAATCATTCAGATTGCAGCCAATAACCAAACAGCACATACTCTCAAACTGCCAGAATACTGAAAGGCTCAAGGTGAATCACTTTGTTCAAGGATGGTGCTCTTGGCACCAAATTCACAAAGAAGCTTATCTTTAAGACCTGCGAAGTTCTGTGACATTCAGTGCCAAATCAGGGAACAGCATAACTTTATTTTACGATTGTCAAAGATCAGGAGGCTAACGTTCTTCTTTCCTCATCAAGAGAAACAGCTACCCATTTTATAAACCACTTTGGAAGTAAACACAAAAGGAAAATTTGAAATAAATTTCAGGAGTTGGTCTGAAATTAAGTGTATTCTTCTCTGAAATATTTGCAAGCTCTATGAAGATGACTTTACATACAAGTCTCTTCAATTTCTTTGACTGTACTAAACAAGATGTAGCGTGTCATACAAACACTGCAGGACAGCCACAACAAGGCAATCATTAGACCAGCAATACAAATAGCTCCCACATGGAGCGAGAAGTGTTGCAGACTACAGCATTTTGTGTTTCCAAACTTTCTTTGGGAATAACAGGATGGAATGGAAAATCTGGTTGACCGTGTGTCTCCCCTGGGGTCTCAAATGATGCATCACAACTTTGGGAACTAATCACATACACTGCCACATAATCATAGAATAGAATCATAGAAGCATTCTCAAGGTAAGCACCATTATGGAGACTACTCTGAATTCTTAAGTATTTATAGCTGCTGCTATTTGCAGCATCTAGAAAGACAAGCGTGAGGTTACAGTCTTTCAGAGTGTTTTATAGAACACCAGGCTGATTGTTCAAGAAAATTTCAAATTTTTTTAGACTATCCTATGATAGTGAAGTGGCAATCTTCTGCAATAGCAATAAAATATAAGTGAACATTTTTGCCAGATTAAGCAAAAGTAAGATCTGGAGACTCTTAACTAACAGAATTAGCTTGAAGTCCTATGTAAAAGAAAATAGCCACTATAATGGCATGTCTTGTTCAGGACTCAAAGCAATGCAAGAAAAACAAACAAAGCAGTTGGCAGGTAAAAGCAAGATGCGCAAAAGCATCAAGAAACGTTCAATAAAGTCTCTGTAACAACTGCTAGTAATGAAAAGAGGAACACCCAGTCCAACAGGCAGAACACATGATTCCTCATCATCTTTAAAGACCTTATTTTGAAGACATAGATGTGACTGTAGACTTCAGTCTCTTGCGATGGTGGCATACCTCTTTCCATCTCCCACAAAGAACACACTAACTTGACTCACTCTAGGAACGATCCGGTTCTCAACACATTAAAATGACAGAATTTGGAGTGACTACCTTGCTTGTGTCACTTTGCTTAAAGAAATACAAATTGGGATGAAAGATTTTCTTTAAGTAGCCAAAAAAAAAAAAAGAAAAAAAAAAGAAAAAAGAGAGTGACAAGGGTCTCTTTTCAGAACAGCGCTTTTAAAAGTGAGAAGATGTCAATGCCCTTCCAATTCACACAAGCCTACCACATAGGCTTGTATTCTCAGATTCATGCCAACTTGTTAGTTATAACTACACTTCTACATTTCTTAAAGAGAACATTTCACATTGGGGAAAACTTTAATATATGTTTGAATTAAGAGATATGGTCAAATCAAGTGTATGTTAGTATTGCTTTCTATCTGAAAGCTGTGATAAAATCACAGTTCCAAGTTCTTGACAGCCAGTCTGTTTCATCCTAAGCACTTCATGAAGGATTCTGCAAAGTGGGAAAAAAACCCACAGGTAGTGATGGAGAGAGCCCTTACTCAAAACCTAATTATCACCTCTGACATCAGCAAAAGTAATGCAGAAATCACTGGCAAAATCAGTTCTTGAATAAGTTCTCCCTTCTGTCAAGTTTTCCACAATAAAGAAGTCCCTCTTTAAGCTCTCTATGGTTAGTTTGATTTAGAAGAATAGGAACAAACTCAGGTTATTGATTCTTACCTTCAGTCCTGTTTTTTCATCATCACTACCATTATTTGTAGATGGTGTTTCATCCCCTTGCCTGGAAACCAAGACAAAATCTTCACTGTTAAGAGTGGATACCGAGTCTGAAGAGACACTGATTTTTCCAACAGAAGCCTTGTCATCCATGACTTAAAAAGGAAGTTCGATTCATGAATGAGATTAAATATGTTATAAACTCCTGAAAAACAAAAATCATAAAAATACTTATATAAAACTTCATGCTAAAATGCTCAAACGTTTCTTTTCAGAAACCTGCTGACTAGTTATAAAAAGTAACACATCTGACAGCATAACCAAGTTACAACTCTCTGTCAGTGTACACTCATGGTCCTGCTTTGATTTTGCTAACCAGCGTGTTACCATTAGAGCACTGGTTTCCATAGCTCACAGAAGGGAAGTTAATAAATCTTTTTGCAGTATTTCATGATTATGTCAGGCACCATTTTCTACACATAGCACAAAACAGGCCCTTGGAATATACACTACGCCAGCTGACAAAGGACTCGTATTAAGGCCAGAACTATAAAGTCCATTTACTTTCTTCAGCTAACCTGTCTGCCTTCATCTATGTTCATGCAAAAATTACTTTTGTAGCTATCAGAGCTCACTGCATGCTTCAGTCACATTCTTTTCCCCCAAAACAAGAGTTAGATCTAACTCTTGATATTTTGTGGTAAGGATGCTCCAAAACCTTGGGACATACAGCATTTTGTCAGTCTATGCTGAATCTTCTGTACTGTAAGGAACAATAAAAGAAAAGACTTCCAAGAAGCAGGAAGAACAGCGTAGGCTGGATCAGTACTGAGAATCAGAGCCAACAGAGGATTTTAAAAAGCTGGAACTGGCACTGAAAGACGTTTGAAGAAAGGAACAAAAGGTGAAGTTCAGCCGCACACCTTGAACTGTACGGCACAGATTCTAAGAATCCGTGGCTCAAAACAGACTGCCGTGATAAAAATGGCTGATTAAATTTCCCAGAAACCCAAATATACCCTTATCACAATGGCTCGGGTCTTTACATACGCCCAAGCATGACCAAACCCAAGTGCTTTTTCAGCCTCAAGTTATGCCTTCCATTCAGTGGAGCACTGTACCAACCTGGCTTCCAACAGAACAGCCAAACAACGGAGAAACTTGGAATATCCACAAGCACGGCTCATCGCATTCCTCTCTGAACGAAGAACAATGCAATGAAAATAGCAAAGTCTGCTTTTATTTCTATCAATACCCTTCTCTCCACAGCCACCAATATGACTTGAAAACCTGCCAGGAGGACAACAAATTTTTTTCTCCTCTGGGTTATTTTTAACCTGATTACTTTCCCGACCGACTCACTTCATGGTCCTGAAACATGTTTCACTGGATAACTGAAGCAGTGTGCAAGAGGAAGAACAGATGTGGGTCGTTCATGAATAACAATACGCCTATGATTATTGGGTTTCATTTTCAAAAGCATGTAAGATATTTAGAAATCCTTTCCAAAAAACATTTTAACATCCACTGCCTTTCAGTAAGAATTACTAAGAAATTTAGGTACTTTGAAAAGTTTTACCCACTGTATGTGTCTATCTGGTATTACTCACAGGTACCTTAAAGGTAGGGCAGAGTTCTCATTTTTAAAGATGCTTTTGTTTAAAGAATTCATATTAAAACATTTCTATAGAAGTTCCTTATTGCACCATCTACATAATACACAGATCATCTGAAAATAACTAAGTCAAACATATTGAAACACAGAATAAAAATAAGCTTCAAACACTTAATATCCCTTTGGCTTTACTGTTTTCATTCAAACAGTGCAAATTCATCTGTCACACTAAGTATGAGTAGAAGAGTGGGCTTTGATCACAAGCAGCTGTAAAGATCATCTAGGCAAGGATCAATTTAGCAATTTATTTTGGTATAGTGTGTCTGTCTTGAAGTGTTAATTTTACCTATTTCCAAAGTCTTTCAATCTGACATCTTTCACCAACGTTAACTTCAATTAAAGAAAAAGCATGCTGTGCTTTTGCACACTCTTTTTTAGTAGCGTGGTATAAACAGACACCACACTTGATCCTGGAGCACAGCTGGCTTAGCCTAACCCCTACAGCAGTTTCACAATACAGAATTGCAACAGCAGAAGGTCCCAATTAGCCCAACTTTGCCAACCTTACATTGAGCAAAAGTCTTACTGAAATTACACAAGATAAGAGAGCACAGGAAAGGGGACAATGTAGTAGACTACTGTAAGCAGCTTTTGTTTATTAGTGATGTATCAGCAAGCAAGGCTCAATTACCCAACTGCACTGGAATCAACCACAGAGGTTCAAAAGGTGCAAAAGCACAGTCTTAAAATACTAAAAATGCTAAGTTAACCAAAATTTCCATATTCCCATACTTTGCTTTGCATGCATTTTATTTCCTCTGTTCCTTGCTATCACTTTATTCCATGCAGATTACCGTATGGATCACTTTACCTGAATCAGAAAACTCACAATGGCAGAATCAACAACAGAAAACCTATGAGCTCATTAAAATATGGGCCAGCCTAGAAGGGCACACATCAAAGACCAGCAGAGCAATTAAGTGTGGCAGGCTTATGACTCCTCTGGAATCAAAAAGCAAGAACAAACAACAGCGGTGACAGTGCAGTAATAGTAATACCTGCAACTTGTCTAAGAACTGAAGCTTTCTGTTCTCACAGGTTAGAGAGGTAGAAGAAAAGACCCCAGCCAACTGCTCAAGTTTTAATGTTTCTCAGAAGAAGCCAACATCTCATCCCTTACAGGGAAACAGACTTTGGTTTATTTCAACATAAATATGAGCTTTTGAATTCAGCATAGTTTAGTTCCTGACACAAAACTACACCACAATAATGTAGTATTCGCCTGAAGGTGTCTTTACACCTCTACAGGAGACAGAGTGTCTAGGTAAAACGCATACTAACAGGCAAATTTTTAACAACATATTTCTTTGCTCACCTGTGTAATTAAATGGGTATCCTGGCCTCTCCTCACACAAAAGACCATTGGAAAAAGCTGCAAAATGAGAAAGGCAACACGGCTGGCTCTTGGGTCACTGCTTTCAATTCACCTTCACTCTATGCTTGCTGTTGTCGTACAAAGCTACAATGTGAGTCCAAGACTCAAACTATCTTTTTAAAAATGTTCTTGTTTATGTTTAAAGCAACCAAACAACAGTAGCAACCTACCTTACTCTCTCTCTTCAAGATAACGTGCAAAGGTACAGCAAAGATACCATTCACCATGCTAAAATCTCAAACAAATGGAAAACAAACCTATCAAAGTTCAAGATTAGTTACACAGATTTATAAAATATTTATCCCTTACTTTCCTATCCTCTCCGAAGTATTTGGCACCTGACCTGCAACTTGTGATCAAAATTTTCCTTGTAAGTACTGCCAGAATTAATTTTAAAGAGTTTAAAGCAAACAGTACATAAAAAACGAAAACCAGAAACCCTTCCATTTTACATTACTGTAAGAGACTGAAGCTTGAATGCCACCTTGAGACATGTGCAACAAGTGAAGCAAGGCACTTGTAACTATGGCTGGTCTCCCTTTCCAAGGGGTGCCCGTTTTCCAGTGTTTAGAACATCCACAGCCATGCAAAAAGCCAGAGGGTGAGCAGAAAAATCAAGGTTTCAGCTGTGAACTTCTTGGACTGTTTAAAAGAGCAGTTACCTTTAAGTCAACAGCAGATGTAGCACCCTTAGCACTAAATTTAGAGGGGAATACAACATTAAATATACTTAGGTTTTGGGTTTTAAGGGCAGAAAAGAGAATAAGCACGAGAACAGCTATGCAAACTAGAGAAGAAAAGAGATTTTTTTTTCCCCATTCATATCTTATTCAGCTTTTGTACTTCAGCTGCAGTTCCTACAGCGATTCCACAAAGCTACAGTATATCTGATGAAGAATGCACCAGATATAGAAGAACAATACAGCAATATTAACTAAATTACTGGAGAATATTATAATTCAAGAAGCTACCTTGAACAGCAAAGTCAGAAAGCTTGGGATGCAAAATAAACCTATATCCTCTATCCCCTAAAATATAAAAACACTAAGTATAATGTTAAAAAACATGGAAAACAAGGAGGTGGCACACAGCCAAGACACTTAGTGTGGGTGAAAATTAGAATTTGTAGCAGAGTTCAGAAGCTGTTTTATGACAAATAAGCCAGCATTCTTTAGGATTCTTAGCTCTTTACAGTCTTTGAAATCTGTGATTTTTTTACTTTCACAATTCGCATAGTGTACACCCATTGTTTTACAAATACACAGCGAGTCCTGAAAAAAGCCTGGAAAATGCTACAGCACAATGCCATCATTACAGGTGGTCGTGCCAGGTGTTTCAGTCTGAGCAGCGTAAGAAATGTAAGAGCAAAAGTGATGTCACACTGACAGACTCGTGGGAAAGGAGCTGTAGTTTGACTTTTTTTGAGCACATATACACCGCCTGTATTTTATTGCAGCTTTGGGAAAAAAAAACATATGAGAAAGATCAATCACTAGCAACCTTTTTCTTCTCACATATCACATGATTAGACTGCATAATCATGTTTGATCTTTACCCACCTACCCTGAGCGAAACAGATTCTCAAAAGCAACGAGAAGTATTTTGCACTCGAAATGAAGCAAGAAAGCCAGTGGCATACTGCATGTGGAAATAAAGATTTAGGATGACTAAAGAGAGTAATTAATAAAAAATAGCAACTACAATACTAACTTTTCTGTTCATTTTAAAACACACTGACAGCCACAGTTGTTCCCACTAAACTTGAGAGCCAGAAAAAATGGTATTTATTTGGAGATAATGCTGCCTCAAATTTCATCCCCCCCTCCTCTTCTCAAGAGCAGAGAAGCACAGATCTCAGGAAGCTGAGTGAATCATCGGCCATTGTATGCAAAACCAGGAATCAAACAAAACACAAGAGTTAAGCTAATGCAATCTTCGTAAAAAATCCTTAACAGATTCATAGTTATTGCCAACATAACTTTGCTTTTAATCTTAATTTGCGCAGAGGACAAAACTCTGATTTTAGGCTCTTGTAATGAGCAAATTCTCCAACCCCAGAAACATGTGGCAGGTCCTGGGAAACCATAGTTTATAAAAGAAATGCTGACACTGCCTTAGCTAGCCCATCACAAGAATGCCGCTGGAATGAATTAACT